TCTCAACCACCTTACCGACAGGAGTAGGGGAACGAAAAATGGCATAAACAGAATCAGAGGCAGCAGCGTGGAATGGGGATTCCCTGCTGCAGTGTTCCGGCGGAGAACCGCGGGTCACGCCCGGAGGCCGCGAGGAGGACATCCACCTCCGCGCACATATCCTCCTTGACGTCTACCACTTCATCCTCCTCTGCCCTCCGCAACAAGCACCTGCTCGTGCACATTGTTAAGCAGCATCACCCTGACATCCCTCTCCCCATCGTCGCCCTCCTCCTCCTCTTGGCCATCCTGGTCCCCCTCCTTCTCCTGTTCGTCCTCCTCCCTCTCCTCCTCCTCCTCCTCCTCCTTCTCCTCCTCTTCCTTCCTTGCATGTTCCTCCTCCTCTCTCACCTCCTCCTCGTCCTCCTCCCCCTCCACTTCCACCTGCTCCTGCACCAGATCATCCTTCTCCTTCGCCTGCTCCCTGTCCTCTTCGCCCTCCTCCTGCCCGACAGTGTCACGTGTATCCAGCTTCCCTGTACAAAGAGGCTCGCGCACGAGTGCGCGGCGACCTTGCGCGGTGGTTCACGCAGGCCTCCGGCGCGGCAGACTGCGTGAATAAGACGGCGCCGATGCACCTACTTCCGCGGGCAGCTTGCGCGCGGGTGAACGCGCAATCGATCCCCGTGGCACCGCCCCCCAATTTCAAAGAAGGCGGCGCGACGGACCTCTTTTGTCAAAGCCTCGTCTCCCCCCTCGGGGGCGGTTAACCCACCCGTCCCGCTAGCGGACCGTGGAGGCCTTGGATAAGGAACCCAGGGTCTGGAGCCTTGTGGAGATCCACTTGCGTGGGACGGGGGGGGGGGGGGGGGGGGGGGGGGCAAAAGTTGTCCGCCCCCAATCATTGTGAGCTCTCTACCCCCCTCCGTCTCCCCTCCCTCCCATCCTACTGCCTCCTCCCTCCCGCCCCCCCCCCCCACCACACCTCCCCCCCAACCCGTTTTCCGCGTCAGATCCCCTGGAGAGGGGCGGCAGGTGAGCGGCGCGGTTGCGGTTGCGGGCCCGCGGGCGGTGTGAAATGTGTCGCGTAGTTGCGGTCGCGGTTGCGCGCCCGCGGGCGGGTTGAAATGGGTCGCCCAGTTGCGCTCGCGCGCCCTCGGGCGGGTCGAAATGCGTCGCCCAGTTGCGGTTGCGGTTGCGCGCCCGCTGGCGGGTGGAGATGTGTGTCGCCCAGTTGCGGTTGCGGTTGCGCGCCCGCGGGCGGGTCGAAATGTGTCGCCCAGTTTGCGGTGGCGCGCCCGCGGGCGGGTTGAAATGTGTCGCCCAGTTGCGGTTGCGCGCCCGCGCGTGGTTTGAAAAAGCGTCGCCCAGTTGCGGTTGCGGCTTCGCGGTCGCAGGCGTTTTGAATTGTGTCGGCCAGTTGCGGTTGCGGTTGCGCGCCCGCGGGCGGGTCGAAACGTGTCGCCCAGTTGCGGTTGTTGTTGCGCGCCCGCGGGCGGTTTGAAATGTGTCGCCCAGTTGCGGTTGCGCGCCCGCAGGGGGGTTGAAGTGCGTCGCCCAAATGCGGCTGCGCGCCCGCTGGCGGCTTGAAATGTGTCGCCCTTGTGCGGTTGCGGTTGCGCGCCCGCGGGTGGGTCGAGATGCGTCGCCCAGTTGCGGTTGCGGTTGCGCGCCCGCGGGCGGGTCGAAATTTGACGCCCAGGTGCGGTTGCGCGCCCGCGGGCGGGTTGAAATGTGTCGCCCAGGTGCGGTTGCGGTTGCGCGCCTGCGGGCGGTTTGAAGTGTGTCGCCCAGGTGCGGTTGCGGTTGCGCGCCCGCGGGCGGGTCGGAATGTGTCGCCCAGTTGCGGTTGCGCGCCCGCGGGCGGGTTGAAATGTGACGCCCAGTTGCGGTTGCGCGCCCGCTGGCGGCTTGAAATGTGTCTGTCGCCCAGTTGCGGTTGCGGTTGCGCGCCCGCGGACGGGTCGAAATGTGTCGCCCAGATTCGGTTGCGCGCCCGCGGGCGGTTTGAAATGTGTTGTTCAAGGTACGCTTCTGACGTTCAGTCAGTCAATCAGTCAGTCAGTCACCGGCGGGCACGGAATTTCACTTGGCCCCGCCTGGAAAAAACTCGGAGGTCCGCGCGGATTTTTCGGATCCGCGCTGGGTCCATTTGGCGGCGCCTGCAGCGCCTCCCCTGGCGCGATCCGCGCGCCAGGGAGGGGGGGTCCAGCGCCGATCCGAAAAATTCGTGCGGACCTCTGAATCTGTATGTCTATATTATTCCTAGTCCCCCAGAGGAAACTTAACAAACCAGCGAGAACTGGGGCAGAACAAAACAACAGATCTGCAGTCGGTCGGGGCAGCGCGGCAGCGGGGCGAGCCGGACCTCGGCGAGGGGCTGCCGCCCCGGCGGCGCGTGCCCCGCGCCGGGCCGCGCCCCCTCGGCCCTCGCGGCCTCTGCGCGGCGCTTCGGCGCACTCACCGGAAGGCAGGCGGTGCACCGCCTGGTTGTGTCCGAGTCGGGCGTGTCCCTTGGCAGGAGGAATATTCAGAGGGAGTCCATAAAAGAGTCCGGGGACGATTTGTTTGACCACTTTGGGGTATTTGTTTTGGCCATTTTCGATGTTTCGTCCGAAATCCGCCTGCAGGGGGACATGCCCGACCGAAGATTATGTCGACGTCCACCGCTTCGGAGTCGCGCCTTGAGGTTCAGGGAACGATAGAGGGTAGAGGGATATATAGGTATAGGGGAGGACGCATCGAACCCCAATCGCCGCATGATAGTCGACATGGGCCCGATACCCTTAACTTTTTTACCGATGTGGACCCCCAATCGCCCATTGATCGCCGATATGGGCCCGATGTGGGCCCGATATTGTAGTAGCCCCAACCTGCCCACGAGCGTTCTGGTGCACGAGTCGCAGTGACTGGAGGAGGAAAAGGCACTGGCGTCGTTGCTCGTCCTGGCGTGCCCTCGTCGCCGCGGCCGGATGCTCCACGAGACTCTGGTCAGAGTGCGCCCTGTCTGGGAGGGGCCGAGGGAACTGGTAGAGTCGGTACGGTATGTTCGTGTCGTGTCGACCGGCGGCGACCCCGCCAGCGGCGTTCAATTTTGAACGCCGCGGGCGACCCAGAATCGTTCGATGTGGAATGATCTGGACGTTTCGGAAACGGCCGATCGTTCAAGGTTGAACGATCCCCGCGGTGTCAGAAACCAACGCCGAAGTCGGCACGACACTTGGCGGCGCGCACAAGGGGGTGGAGGGAGGGGGGAGGGCTTCTTGGAAGGAGGCTGCTTCCCAGAAGGCGCTGGCCTTACATCTACAGATCAGGCCCGTGCCTTCTGAGAAGCAGGGGTGCTCCTAGGAAGCCCTCCCCCCTCCCCCCACCCCCCTCTGCGCGTGGCCGAGACGCGAACCTGACGTACCTCCCTGCAGTCCCGAAGTGGGAGCGCGTGCCGGGCCGCACGGCTCCCGTCCACTCGGTGCGCTGCTGGGCGGAGCCTGCCGTCGCGCAGCAGAGGCCACCCGCAGGCCTGGTCCGAGGCCCAGCGTTCAGTCGGGCGTGGCCCTTTACAGGAGGAATCTCAAAAAATAGTTTAGAAATGGTCTGCGAACGATTTTCGTACTGTTCTTGATTTGGTTGAATGTTTTTTTGCTATTTTGAATGATTTGTTTGGCTATGCTTTTGATGTTGAATGATTTTTGGGCTATTTTGAATGATTTGTTTGGGCTAGTTTGAATGATTTTTTTTGCTATTTTGAATGATTGTTCTTGATTTTGTTGAATGGCGTTTTTTGGCTATTTTTCATGTTTGATCAGCCTGCAGGAGGGCAGGCCCGACCTAAGCCTAGCGTTCAGTCGGGCGTGGCCCTCTACACGAGGAACATTCAAAAATAATAGAAAATAGTCTGGGGACGATGTTTTGACTATTTGCAAGCATTTTTGGAGTATTTTTTGACCATGAGCAAGCTTTCGCCCAGAATCCCCCTGTAGGAGGACATGCCCGACCTAAGTCCAGGATGTCCTGTCCGAGCGCGACTGCAGCACCCGGCTTGGCGCGTGTCGCGCGGCGTTCTGTTCCGAGCGCCCCCGGCACAGCTCTGGCACGGCGGCTGCGATTGATGCGTGCGTGATCGTCGGCATTGTTATCACCATCGTCGTCGCCCTCACTTGTGATTGTTTTCTATTAATTGTTTTGCCGATCGGCGCGGGCCCTCGCACCCCCCCTCCCCCCTCCTTGGAGAGGATCTTGGTTGTTTTTTAGCATCTGTTTCGAGCAGGCGGAGCTTCCCCCGTAGTGGACGCCCTGTTGCAAACAGTCGCATTAAGCAGAGGTCCGGAGTCAGACACCCCCTTTCCGCCCAATGTTCAGTCGGGCTTGTCCCTCTACAGAGGGGAAATTCAGAAATAGTCAAAACATAGCCTGGGGACTCTTTTTTGTTGTTGCCATTTTGGAGTATTCTGGAGTATCTTTTTGATTATTCGTCGAAGATCCCCCTGCAGGGGGACACGCCCGACTTAAGCCCAATGTCGAAGCGCCGAATAAAAAAAGAAGAAGCTGACCTCACTGCAGGCAGAGACAGCACAGGGTGGAGCGCCACTGGCCCCAAAAATCGCCCACTCATCCGGTGGCTCACCCTGCCCGTGAGCGCACGTTTCTTCGCTCCTGGGGGCAATCCCCGCAGATCTGTCGGCGACGCGCCGAAGCCCCGAAGTGCAGCTGGAGCGAGGGCCGAAGAGCAGCCCCGGCTCTGGTGGAGAAGGTGCCCTCGCGCCCCTCCGCGCCCTGGCCCTGCGCCGCGTGCTGTCTTCGAGCTGCGGGTGGCTGCAGGGTCGTCGAGCCTTCGGCGAATTGGCTCGTCCTCCTCCTCCTGCTCCTCCTCCTCCTCCTGCTCCTCTTCTCCTGCTCCTCCTCCTCGCTCCTCCCACCTCCTCCTCCTCCTGCTCCTCTTCTCCTCCACCTCCTCCTTCTCCTCCTCCTCCTCCTCCTCCTCCTGTCCATGCCTCGACGGTAATTCTCCTGCTCGCCCGTGCCAGGCCCAGCTGCAGCAGCAGCTTGCGCAGGCGTCCACCCCTGGCGGCGAGGGGGCCGAGGCGCCGAGGGCGATGCTCTTCCCTCCTCCTCCACCTCCTCCTCCTCCTCCCTCCTCCTCCTCCTCCTCCTCCTCCTCCCTCCTCCTCCTCCTCCTCCTCCTCCTCCTCCTCCTCCTCCTCCTCCTCGACCACTTCCTCCTCAGCCTCCTCCTCCTCCTCCTCCCTCCTCCTCCTCCTCCTCTCCTCCTCCTCCTCCTCCTCCTCCTCCTCCTCCGCCGCCCCCTCCTCCTTCGCCTCCGCCTCCGACTCCGCTCCGTCTTTTCCTCCTCCCGCTCCTCCTCCTCCTCTCCTCCTCCTCCTCCTCCTCCTCCTCCTCCTCCTCGTCCTCCTCCTCCTCCTCCCCCATTCCTTCTCCTTATAGATAGCTTCTCCCTGTCGCACCCCGAGGCCAGTTTTTAGGGCAGGCCGGGCGTTTCGCCTGAGATTCCTCACCAGGTACGATTCTGAAGCTTCAGAAGTGAGAACAGTTTCACGGATTAAGGGCGGCTCCTTTTCAAATTGTGGTTCTCGATTTAGCGCCGCGCACATTCAAGGGTTTCACGGATCGAAGGCGGGTCATTTTCAACATGTGGTGTTCGCTACAGCGCCGTGCCTATTCGTTTTGAAATATTTGCAACACATTCACGTTTTGAGGGTTGATGGTTTTCAAAATGTGGCTCTCGCCTTAGCGCCGCGCACATTCGTTAAAGATAATGTGCTAGAGCTTCACGGATTGAGGGTGGTTCCTTTTCAAAATGTGGCTCTCGCTCTAGCCGCGCACATTCGTTTTACAAATTCGCAAGAGTTTGCCGGATTCACATGGTTAAGGTACCAGACATGGTGTTTTGGAAGGGTTCAGGATTGTGTGGCCGCGCAACTGTTATGTTGGTTTGCGGTGTTGAAGTCCCAGAAATGGCGCTCTGGCACGATTCTGGATCGTCAAGACGCAGCACTCAGGTTGATACGTAGCGTTGAAATCCCGAGAACCATGTTTTGGCACGCTTCAGGATCTTCAAACGGTTGTCTTCTAACGAGGCAGTTCCTTCAATGGAAAACCGTTGTGGGGGCCTGTGAAGAGGGAGCTTGGAGGGAAGGTTCATTCCAACATCGTTGGTGACTCTTGGGTTTCCACTGGTCCTCCTCACGCCCGCCCTCCTCGTCTCCGTCTCCTTTTCCTCCCCCTCCTCTTTCTGCCCACCCTTTTGTGAAACCAATTTCATGTTCCTCCTCCTCCTCCACTCCTTATCCTTATAGATACTTTTCCCTGTCGCACCCCGAGGCCAGTTTTTAAGGCGGGCCGGGCGTTTCGCCTGAGACTTCTTCACCACTTATGACTCTGAAGCTTTAAAGGTGACAGACAGCAGTTTCACACATGGAGAGCGGGTCGTTTTCAAAATGTGGCTCTCGCCTTAGTGCAGCGCACATTCGTTTTAACAATTTGCAAGGCATTCACGGATTGCGGGCTGATGGTTTTCAAAATGTGGTTCTCGCCTTCGTGCCGCGCACATTCTCTTTAAAAGTTTGCAAGGGTTTCACGGATTGAAGGCGGGCCGTTTTCAAAATGTAGTTCTCGCTTTCTCGCCGCGCGCATTCGTTTTTTGAATTTGAAAGGGTTTCGCGGTTTGCGGGCGGGTGGTTTTCAAATTGTGGTTCTCGCCTTCGCGCTGCGCACAGCGCACATTAACAAGTTGCAAGAGTTTCACGGACAGAGGGCGGCAAGAGTTTCACGGATGGAGAGCGGGTCGTTTTCAACATGTGGGCGTCGCTTTAGCGCCGCGCAAACTCGTTATAACAAGGTGCTAGAGCTTCACGGATTGAGGGCAGTTTTTTTTCAACATGTGGCTCTCGCTTTAGCGCCGCGCACATGCGTTTTACAAATTCGCAAGAGTTCGACGGATTCCCGATCAAAGTACCAGAAATTGTGTTTTTGAAGGGTTCAGGATTATGTGGGCGCGACAGTTATGTTGGTTCGCGGTGTTGAAGTCCCAGAATTCGCGCTCTGGCGCGATTCCTGATCGTCAAGACGCAGCAGTCAGGTTGATACGTGGCGTTGAAGTCCCGAGAACATTGTTTTGGCATGCTTCAGGATCTTCAAACGGTTGTCTTCCAACGAGCCCGCTCCCTCAATGGAAAAGAACCGTTGTGGGAGCCTATGAAGAGGGAGCTTGGAGGGAATGCTAATTCCACAATCGTTGATGACTCTTGGTTTGCACTGGTCCTCCTCCTCCTCCTCCTCCTCCTCCTCTTCCTCCCCCTCCTCCTCGTCCTCCTCCTCCTCCTTCTCCTCCTCCTCCTCCTTCTCCTCCTCCTCCTCCTCCTCTTGCTTTTCACACCTCACTCTGCCTTGTCCTCCCCCCCGGTTTGCCTCCGCCAGTTACCGCCCCCCCCCCCCCCCAGACTGCTTGCGTGGCCACGCTTGGTAGGTTGGATGGTTGGTTCTCTTGCCGGCTGGCTGGCTGGCAGCTCGATTGCTTGGCTAGATGTATGGTTGTCGGTTGATTTGAACTGCTTGCTAGCTGGCTGGTTGCGCGTGTTTTTATCAATTACCCCCCCCAGGATTGCTTGCGTGGCCACGCCTGGTCGGTTGGATGGCTGGGTTTCTTGCCGGTTGGCTGGCTGGAATCTCGACTGCGTGGTTAGATTCACCACCCACCAGCACAGCCCAACCGAACCCGAAGGCTTCGATTCGCCCTCCATCTCCAGTGGCGGGGGGATCGGGGGACATCAAAAACACACATGGACCCCGCAGCCCCCCAACCCGAAATGCGGGTCTTCGGGTGTGGGCTGGGGTGGCCTGGCAGGTGGTCATGGATGTATGGATGTCGGCTGCGGCCACTGGTTTGCTGGCTGGCTGGTTTTGCGCGCTTTTGCGGATGCAGGACAGGCTGTGGACTCGAGGGCGGGCCGAGAACGGGCACGCGTTGCACGCGCCAGTCGTTGAAGGCAGGTATTTCTGAAACCTTAGATCCCAATCTACTTCGTCCTCCTGCTCCTCCTCCTCCTCCTCCTGCTCCTCCTCTTCCTGCTCCTCCTCCTCCTGCTCCTGCTCCTCCTGCTGCTCCTGCTCCTCCTCCTCCTCCTGCTCCTCCTCCTGGTGAGCCAGCCCTAGCGCCTTCCTACTTTAAGAATCGATATGCTTTTGCTATGTCCTGTTTTTCTGCGGGAGGGCCGGAACCCAATCTACCTGATCCGCCTTTCTACTTCATGTTTCTACCCACTTCTTCCGACCGGCGTGTAGTCTACTGAGGACGCTGGCCTTGGGAGCGTGCGTCGCAATTGAACAAGGGGTTGTGGCCCAGGCGGGAAGCGGGGGCGAACGTTTGGCAACTTACACACGGTTTGAAAACCCACGGGGGCAGGTGCCAGTCTCTCCCGTTTGCACTACGGTAACATAGGGGCAACATGACTTTAGGGGTAGACCAGCAGAGCAGTGACAGTCATCATTCGGTCTGTTCGAGCACATGCATGCGCAGTAATGCAAGCCCCATGCATATATATATATAGAGAGAGAGAGAGCCCCCGATAAGTTACACCCCGCATCTCCGTCCGCCAGCCACGGCGCACCGCTGCAATCGCAGCGCGCGTTGTCTTAGGGTGGTCGGACGCCGCGAGCCCAAGGGGAATCCGGAGGCGCGTCGGGCCGTGCAGTCGTTATTTCCATTCATGGATGTCGCCGGATGTGCCCAGCGCGCACAACGATGCGCGGAACATCTTTGTGTTTGCGCCATTGAGGGCGCGGGAAGGATGCACTGCGCGCGCGGGTTCAGGCCGCGCACGCGTCGGAAACGTGTTTCGGGTTGACGTTAGAGGGTCCTGCTCACTCCCGCCTTCCCAATGAAATTTGAAGACGATGGGACGGGGTTCTGAGGTTGGCAAGTGGGCCCGCGGGCTTCACCAGCTCCCGCAATTGCTTCATCCCCTGCAAAATTAGGGCCGATGCCGACACAGCATGGCCGTAACAAAAGTGGGCGGCGGAAGGAGGGCTGGCAAAGGGAGGGGTGCGACTGCTGGGCAGGGCGAGGTGGACTTGGAAGGAAAGGGGGGAACACGCACATATTCACACACACACACACACACCTTGTACACACACACACACACCTTAGGCGGCGGGAAGCCTTGAGCTATCTCGACACCAACCTTGGCAAGATCCTCTAGCGGCAGCGTGCTCCCGCATCGACTCCAAGCGTCGTACGGGAGTCCGTCAGGCCCTGGACCAGAGTCGCGCGCACGACGCGCAGCCCACACCAGATCACGACTGTCAGGTAGCTTCACATCCTCCAGCCCATCCAGCAGCACGGGGTTAGCATCGAGGTAGCGAGCCACAAGCTGGAATACAGGCATACAGTGTCTTTTCAGCTCCTCATGCACGTCAGCCTGGGCATTCACAGTGCGCTCCTGGCCCTCGTCGCCATCGGGGTCAGGCAGTCGTAGTCCTTGGAGTTTGAGCGTCCGCTTGCATGGTGTCCAAAGTGCTGCTCTCCTCCGTGTCGTTTTGCGCATCGCGTTGATGTGGGTGAAAAAAGTGTCATCTGGTGGAGTTGCCTGTGCCCGATGCTCAAGAGCTGCTGGCCGCCGATCGTTGTATATATTCTGCTCCCCAGCAAACGCGGCAGTGAAGTCTGCAGCGTGGCGCAGCGTGACCGATGTCGGCGTGGCCATCAGATGCTCAGCAGCAAGGGGTGATGACGCGATCGGCGATCAGCCTGTCGGCCAGCTTCACGTCATCCCTCCAGACGGCTCTCGCCATGGGCCGGAAGATCAGCAGCTTCGAGTCTTTGTCGGAGGCGCCGTGCTGGAAGATAGAGTCCCTGATCAGTCTGGCCGCCTCTCGCATGAGCCTCTTGTACTCCGTTCTCCTCTGGTAAGGCTGCATCTTGGACCACTGCACGTGGCCTGCCAGCAACTTATACTGCACTGCACAGCTTGGGCTATGGAAGATAAGCCGAGGGATCACCTGCGCGTCGCCATCGAGAGGAGACCAGAAAAGGTGACCACCAGCGGCGCGTGGTCGCTGAGGCCAA